CCATCATCATAAGCAGCAGTATCAGCATCATCATCATCATCATGACCATGCTCATCATCGTGATCAACATCAGCAGCATCCGCACCCTCATCATTACCATCATCATCATTATCATCATCATCATCATCATCATCATCATCATCATCATCATCATCATCATCATCATCGTTATCATCTGCCACCGTGCCTCTGGCCACGGAGAGGGCGTGTCCTCAGGTCATCTGCCTCGTCCTCTGTGCCTCAGTCATCAGTCCTGAGGTTTGTGCGATGGGCCCGGATCCAAATCCTCAAATCTACAAAGGCGTCCCGCGTGCCCTGTGGGCTCCCCCGCGGCTTGTCGCATGACTTGTTCGGCCCCTACAAGGCCCCAAGACGGACCAAGAGGGCTCCAGGAGACCTTGAAGACGGTCTAAGAGGGCCCCGATACGCCCCCGTTTCGGCCCAATACGCCCAAGATGGGCCCAAGAGGCCTGCAAGATGCCCCAAGAGGCCTCCGACAAGCCTCACAAAAGAGCCCCAAGAGACAACAAGCATTGATTGTCTCGCCGTTTCTGCTTTCCGACGCTCCACGACGGCCCAAGAGGCCCCCAAGACCACCCCTAAACGGCCCAAGAGGCCTCAAAGAGGGCCCCAAGTCGGCCTAAGAGCGCCCCAAGACGGCCCAAGAGGCGCCCAAGACGGCCCAAAAGGGCCCCAAGGCGGCCCAAAAAGGGGACCAAGAGAGGGAATAAATGCGAACCGACAAGCCGAGCATTCCTCCCCAACAGGCCCCCAGGGAGACACCAAGAGGCGTTCAGGAGGCCCCAAGAGGCCCCCAAGAGGCACCGAGAGACCCCCACGAGGCCCAAAAGAGGCTCCCAAGAGGCCGCAAAACGCCACCCCAGAGGCCTCCAAACTGCCTTCAAGAGGCCCCCGAAAGGCCTCCCACGAGATCCCAACGAACATCCAATAGGCTTCATCATCATCATCATCATCATCATCATCATCATCATCATCATCATCATCATCATCATCATCAGCATCAGCATCAGCATCAGCATCAGCAGCATCAGCAGCATCAGCACCAGCACCGGTACAGCATCATCATCAGCATCAGCATCATCATCATCATCATCATCATCATCATCAGCATCATCATCATCAGCATCATCATCATCATCATCATCATCGTCATCCGCAGCATCATCAGCATCACCACCACCACCGCCATCGTCATCATCATCATCATCAACATAATCGTCATCATCAGCATCATCTGTATCATCATCAGCAGTAGTAGCATCGTCATCATCATAACCCTGATCATCATCACCATCCTCATAATCATCAACACCACCACCAACATGATAAGCAACACCATCGTCATCATCAACATCATCTTAATCATCGTCGTCATGTATCATCATCACAGTCATCATCAAAATCATCATGATCCCCATCACCATCATCGTCATCGTCGTCATTATTAATAGCAGCATCTGCAACATCATCAACAACATAATCGTCAACATAGTAATCATCGCAAGTATCATCACCATCATCAGCATCATAAGCATCACCATAATTATCAGCATCAGCATCAGCAGCATCAACAACATCGTCATCATCATCACCCTGAACAGCAGCATATTCATCAAAATCGCCAGCGGCGACATCATCAAGATAATAGTCGTCGCCATAGCCCGTCGGCATCACAGACATCCTCATCAACACCATCATTAGCATCATCTACATCAACATCGTGCGCATCATCATCATCACCATCATCATGTGCATCGCCATCACCGCCATAATCATCATGATCAGCATCCACATGATTATCATCGTCGTGAGAATTAACAGCACCATCGTTATTGGAAGCATTATCAGCAGCAACATCACCCTCACCAGCATCATCATCCTCATCACCATCATCAGCATCATCGCCATTATCATTACCATCATTGGGACCCTCAGTATCAGCAATACCACCATCATCGGCTGGTCCAACGGATACTGACGACTTGGAGCTAATTACCCGTAGCCAGCTCTGGCCTGGGTACGTCAAGGAAAAGTGGAGAGAGGAACACCAGAGCAGTACAGAGAAAGAGGCGCCCTTCGCAAACACTTCCCGCCATGTCGTCAGGGTCGCTAGCCGAGAAGGGGCCCAAGGGGAGCTCAAAGACCTCAAGAGCCGACTGCTAATCGCGATTGCAGGGGTCGGAGCCCCAGATGACTTACGCAGATGCACAAGCAATGCGAGGGACACATGTGGCACTGCAAACACCCTCCCCCATCTGCGGCATCTCAGGACACACATCTGCATGCATGACGGCATGGTCGCATTCGTAGCTGTATGAGATACCATCCTGGGACCGTGATCGTGCGACCTCCTGCGCCTCCAAGGATCTGGGGCGGCAGAATCCCCTATACCAGCACAGGGATGTGTTTCTTCCACGCCACTGCCACGAGCACGAAACGAGGCCTGACACCCGCGATCGCGGCGCGGAGCTACGATCTTCCAGAGGCAGCACACGCATTCCCCCAAAAGCAAGCCAGCTTGACTACTCGGCGCCCTGGAACAACTCGAACCGTCGCCAACATGCAGAGGAGGCGGCACCAACGTCCCGGGTTGCAGCAGCCCACAGGACCGAGAAGCATGCCAGCTCTGCCCTCCTCCGACTCCTCCTCCCCATCCTCCCCCTCCCCATCCTCCCAATCCTCCCCCTCACCCTCCATTCCTATCCCTATGAGGTAACTTCTCCCTGTCGCACCCCGAGGCCAGTTTTTAGGGCGGCCCGGGCGTGTAGCCTGAGATTTCTTCACCATGTATGACCCTGAAGCTTAAAATTGGCAGCAATTTCACAGATGGAGGGCGGGTGGTTTTCAAAATGTGGCTCTCGCCTTAGCGCCGCGCAACATGTGGTTCTGGCCTTAGCGCAGCGCGCAGTCATTTTATATGCATTGCCAGAGTTTCACGGATTGAGGGCGGTTCCTTTTCAAGATATGGCTCTCGCCTTAGCGCCGCGCACATTCGCCTACAACATTTGCAAGAGTTTCACGGATTCCCATGGTCAACGTACTTGAACTGGTTTTGGAAGGATTCAGGGTTATGAGAGTGCAACAGGTACGTTGATTCGCGGTGCTGATATCCCAGGAATGGTGTTCTGGCACGATTCGGGATCATCAAAACGCAATAGTCAGGTTGATCCGTGGCGTTGGGAATCCCAAGAACAATGTTTTGGCATGCTTCAGGGTCTTGAAACGGTTGTTTTCCAACGGGGCAGCTCCCTCGGTGGACATGAACCGTTGTAGGGGCCTATGAAGAAGGAGCTTGGAGGGAGGGTGTATTCCAACATCAATGATGACTCTTGGGCTTACACTGATCCTCCTCCTCCTCCTGCTCCTCCTCCTCCTCCTCCTTCTCGGTGCCCCCGTGCCCCAAGGCACATTAATGCGCGGTAGAATGCCAGATGCTATCTGGTAGGCCACCCCTTTCCTCACGCTCAGGTGCATGCATCGCCCCTCTTCCGGACTTTCCTGTGCGACCCAGGGCGTCCACGAGGTTGTCCACGGATCTCCATGGCTTCCAAGACAACCCGAGAAGGCCACCAAAGCCGGCGGCAACACTTCTCAAGACTGCCTCAAGGGTAACCCTCCTCCCCTCACCCACGTCGGCGTCTGTCAGCACCAGCAAGTCCCCAAGAAGACCCCAAAGGGATACTAACGAGGCGCCAGCAGGCTTCCAAGAAACCCAGGAGAAGCCGAAGAGGCATTGCAGGAAGGCCAAAACCATTCAACTAAGCGTTCTGCAATGCTGCGCTTGCCGTGCCCCTCGGCTCCCATGCTTCCAACAGGCCTTCGATGAGCCAAGGGCTAACCAACAGAACCCATTCAGGGTCCTCCGGCCCCACCCCATAGAGGGCAGAAAAGCCACCCTCATAATAAGCACCCGGACGAGCGAAGCCTGTAGTAAACGCACCCAGTGAAAGGATCGAACTGGGCAGGGCTGTCTTGCAAACGCCCAGTGCTGTTTAGTAAACGCCGAGTGTGGGGGTCGGGGTGTTTTTTCCTCCCTTGACCCCACCCCGACGGTTCAAATCTGCGCTAAGAGGGCCCCAGGCCGGCCCGAGAGGGTCCCAGGTCCCAGGACCGCAAGACGGCCTCACAGGAGCCCAAGGGAACCCCAGGATGGCCCAGGTAGACCTTATGAGAACCCCTGAAGGAATCGAGACGAGAAGGATCATGTGTCACAGCCTCCTGAGCATCGCCACACGAAGTGGCGCACCTCGCCGCGGCCGCTGGATTTTCCTAGGCGCTGATACGCAGCGCATGGCTGGGGCAAACAGAGACAACTGTCCATCCCAGCAACAACTCAAGGTGCGATAACCGCATGTTCTGTGCTCACCCGAGCACACCCTGTCCAGACTCTTGCTGGCGCGACTGGCCCCTTTGGCCGTTGGCCCGAAGAGAGGAGCTGGTGTCGGGGCCGTGGACAGCCAGTGGACAGGAGGAGGAGGAGGAGGAGGAGGAGGACGGGGGCAACGGGGAAGGAACTGAGGACATACTGGCCGCCCTTGCGGGCCGCAACGCATCGAAGCGATCCCGCTGCACCCCCGCGCTCGCTCGCGCTAAGGGGGGGCGCGGCTAACGCGGTGGCGGAGCCCGCGGACGCCGCCGAGGGTAGTTTCCCCGACGGGGAGAAAAGGGAGGGGGACACCATACCGTACACCACAGACAAGCGAGAAGGAGGGGAACTGGCAATCCCTCCTCTTTTTCCCCCCTTTTCCTCCGCCTCCCTCTTCCTCCTCCTCCTCCTCCTCCTCCTCCTCCTCCTCCTCCTCCTCCTCCTCCCCCGACGACGACGACGACATGGGCGACATGGACGACGACGACGACCTCCTCGTTTTCCTCCTTCTCCTCCTCCTCCTCCTCCCCCGCATCCCCCTCTTCTCCTCATCCGTCTCCTCCGACGACGACGGCGACGACGACTTCCCCTGGAACGCACGCCGCGGGTCAGCCTCGCGCCCACCACTTGGTCGAAGTCCGCCACGCAGACTGCGCACGCCCGTTGCGGCGCGTCGTAGTCGGGCAGCTGTCCACAGGGAGGCGACGGAGGATCGCAAACAATTTTTGCATGACCGAAACACGTCCTGGAGGAAAGGGTCCCCGGAGGTTGCTCGACAGGAGGAGGATGAGGAGAAAGGGGAGGGAGAGGAATAGGAGGAAGAGGAGGAAGAGGATCCAGCGGTGCGGATTATGGGATGGCTAACGGATTTGGGACTATGGGCGCTCAACACTCGACCCCCTGGCCTGGCGAATAAGCAGCAAACGTGGACGCGGAATAATTCGAGAGGCCATACATTGCAAATTGATGTTGTGTGTGCCCGACGGCATTTCTGGGGAAGCGTACGTGGGTGAGCACTGGAAGAATAAGAGCGACCATTTCCCGGTAATGGCGGCACTGGAGTTCGGCACGGTGCAGCGCATACCACGAACCGTACGAATCTCATTGAAGGGATGGGCTACGGCAGATCCAACATCGAAAACACGATTTCAGGTATCAATGATGTCTCGTTGTTCAGTATTGTTCGACGGGTCGGTGCCGACGCATGCCACCTTGGAGCAGGTAGAGTCGGAGACTCTGGTGGCCAACCAAAACGTGCCGTACACTACGACCATCTCCAGATTACGAACGGCTCGGCAGACTCCGGAACACGCACGAGAAACCAAGCGCACTTGGCAGGCGGAATCGGTCGCGGACATTCGGGCACAACGGAAGAGAAGAGACAGCATCGCCAGCTACAACGACGACACCAGAATATGAACATTAAAAAGAGGCACGCGAAGCTCAACTCGGCCAGACGGAGGGCGCCAGGCGCGCCCTTTACTCTCGATATTGGTTCCGACGGGCCGACGCCTTCGCGGGAGAGATGGTGACTCGCAGCGTTCGAACTATGTCGAGACCGTTCCAAATAACGATGGAGCGGTGCAGCGACAGCGTCTCCGCCGTTGGAAGTCTGTGGGCCAGGCGCGCCGGGTCGACGGCCACCCAGTTCTAGAGTTGAGCTTGTTCGTCGTCCTGCACGCCCGTGCCAGGCTTGCCTCCGAGAGAGCCGCTGGTACGGATCAGGTGGTCCTAGAGATGTACAAAGCGCTTCCTATGTCCATGGTTATGTTGGTTTGGTCTCTCTTCCAGGATCTTCTGAAGTATGGTTAGTTTCAGAGCATTGGCAAATACTTGACCTCATTGGAGTGCCGAAATCTTGTCATACAGCCTCACTTGTGGATTACAGATATGTCGCGAAGTCGCCTTTCTTGCAGAACTGGTTTTGTCCTTTGTCGCCCACTTGATCGAGAAACACTTGGCGCCCCCTCGCCAGTGAATGTTTACGGTTTTGTGCGAGGTACTTGCGTTTCTTATGTCAGCGGGCCTGTCCGAAAAATCTCCCATGAAGCTCGAGAATGGAACCGTCCTGCCTTTTGATATTTTCCCGTGGCATTGACCTCATGCCTCCGCCTGTACTCCGGCCGGGCTCCTCTGCGGCCCTTGCCGCCCTGCGCATTCCGCTCCTGCAGGCGAGAACCCCTGAAGGAGGGGGAGGAGGAGGAGAGGCTAAATACCGACCTACTTGCCTATGCTACATGCGTGTATGCCGTATGCTAGTGAAGCTAAAATGTGTGATGTGTAGGGGCAGACAGGTTAATGAAAGCCAGCCCTTGCGGCCTGCTTCAACAGCGCCACATGCCGGTCGTCCTCTAGGTTGGGCGGTCCCCCAGCAACGCTGACATCGTAGGATTTGCTGATTTCCTTCCAATATTCAGAGAGCGTCAGCCTATACCAACCTCGTTCTGGGGCGCCCCACGCGGAGCGCCCCCACGTCGCGTTGCTCTAGCCTTGTCGGGTTGAGCAACATAGTTTTCACAGGATCGTCGCCCCTGCTGGCAAGTATGGCTGCGAAGGATTTGAACTCCATACGTGTGTAGTACACACTGAAACTCTCAATCCGGTCTTCAGGCCGCTGCGCCTGCAGCTGCTCGTTGGCGCGCGTGTATACAAATGTATTGCCGTGTTGTCTGTCAACATATGTCGCCGTGATCTTTAATATGTCGTAGCCCCCTTCAGTTGGAATGTGTCCAGGCGTTGCCGTGAGCTCTCCGTGAGCTCTCCGTGAGCTGCGCCGACTCCAAGCCATTCGTGAGCTTCGAGCGGAAGATTGCGTTGAAGACCTGGAGTTTGAGTCGAACGGAGCAGTCTGAGCCTTTGAAGAACATGCCAAGCCTTTTCCAGACGCCCATGCACACGGAAAGGCGACGCCGTAGCTCCATCTGCGGGTCTCCTCTATCGTTGACTAAACATCCCAAATATTTTCCCTTTGTGCATGTGCGGCACAACTGTTCCATGGCGGAATTTGAGGGTGACTTGTTCCCAAACTGAATGATTTCGCATTTAGTTTCGTTAAGCTTCAAGCCGTATGTTTCACTTTCTTCCTCGATGGCGTGCAGCAGCTTTCCCAATGCGATTTTGCTGGTGGAAGTACAAATTGTAACGTCTGCGTACAAAATCGCGTCTTCCGTTTGCCCCGCGCCCTCCCTGCCCGCAGGTCTTCGCCCAGGGCGCTGTGGGCATGGACGTCGTGGAAGAGGCAAGTCATGACTACGAGAAACAGATACGGTGACAGGGGGCATCCTTGGCGCATGCCTGTGGATTGTTCGTGCATTTGTGACGCAGACCCCTCTACTTCAACAAAGAAGGTTCCTCTCGAGTACAGAGAGCGGATCGTGTCGAGGATCCGTGGGTGAACCTGCATGCGCTCGAGGGACTGGGAAAACACCCCGTGTTTCACTTTGTCGAAAGCCTTTTTCCCAATCGAGTAGCAAGAGTAAGAGGTTGTTCCCGGTGAGTTCTCTCCGTATTCCATGGCTCTCCGCGCAAGGTGGATGGCCCGCGCCGTGCTCTTCCGCTGTCGGAAACCGCATTGTGTTCTCTGCAGGTGCGGAGCCAGCGTGTAAGAGAGACGTCTTTAAATCAAGGCTGCGACGATTTTGTAAATGCTGCTCAAAAACGAAATTGGGCGGTAGTTGTTCAGTCTGCTCGAACCGTTTTTTTCCACAGGAAAACCACCCGCGCCATTAAGGATTTGTCCGGAATGTGTCGCTGGGCCCACCAATCGTTGAGGGTGTCCAATGCTAGAGCGAGCGTGTCGTCATCCATTTCTTTGAAAAGATCCATCGGTACATCGTCTGGGCCCGGTGCTCTTCGTCGTTGGAATTTCTAGAAGATTGCTCGCAGCTCCGTCGGCGACAGCGGTGGCGGGCCCCGCGCTAGCGGGTGATCCACTACTGGGTCCCCCCACGGCATCTGCGCGGCAGCATGCTGTCCTGGGCCGGTCAGTCTCGCTGGTGCGCCCCACTGCTTGGTGGCAAAATTTGTCGCTGCTTCTTCCGCTCGTTCGTGCAAAGGGGCGGGCGCGCCATTTGCTTTTTTGCACGCGCATGGTTGCGGCGTGTACTCGGAGCGCAACCGTTTGAGGCCCATCCAGCGGTCTCTGACGTCCATGTTTTGCTGCACGGAGTCGAACAGAGCATGCCTTCTGTCGCGCCGGCGTTGTTTTTTGGATTTGGGCAATAAGTGATTTGATGGTGTCCGCGTCGCTGTTGTGTTCGATGACGTGTCGTCGTCGTTGGAGGAGGGCCTCCACTGCTGCAGAGACCTCCTGCGGTTTCCGTTTCGGCGGAACCTCTGGGATTCTGCCCTCCGCCGCCTGCCGCGCGACGTCGGCGAGGTTTGCGGGCGTGGTTTCTTGAGGCCAGTGCGCCCTCACATACTCATTAAAAGCTTGTTTTTGTTCGTCGGAACATGGGGGATATTTGCGCCTCTCGTGGCCCGTTGGCTTGTGCATTTATTTCAGTTGCATCTCAAGAGTCGCAACCACAGGGTAGTGGTCGGAGGAGAGGTTAGCAGATGCGCGGCGTTCGACGTTACGCACGCTGTTATTCCAGCGCTGCTGCGCCAGAACATAATCCAGCATGTCATGCGGCCCCCCCCGAAAAAGGAGGGCCCCGTTGTGCACCCGGCGCCCTGTGGGTGGCTAGTTTTTCTGGTGGCTTTGAGAGAAACGCGTTCATGGCCAGACTGCGCGTGGCGATGCAATGGGATATGAATAGCTGCCAGTTTCCGCGCACTTCCTCTGAGTTCCAAACGCGTCGTACCAGGGCCAAACGTGCATGGGCCAATGACGTTTTCGTCCGGCGTGAGTTTCGCTTGAACTCTCGCGCTGAAATCACCAAGTTTATACACAGGGCCGCGTTTGCAGCGCTTCTTGTGCAATTGTTCCACGCTTGTATAGAATGTGTGTTTGATGCCTGTCGGCGTTGTCGCTGCAGGGCTCTAACAACATATCATAGGTAGTTTAACACGAGGTACATTAGTCGATCGGTGGTTGGCTGCACATCCAAAATATAAGTCGCCCGCCCATTCGACACGACGATGGCTACGCCAGCGGAGAAGCGGCCTTCGGACTGAACGCGCGTTTCGCCGCTGAAGAAGCAACGATACTTCTGTCGTTTCTCGTGGCGGTTGTCGGGAACGTGTGTTTCTTGCGCGCGCAGCACGTCGATGTCATTTTGCTGCATCCATCTTAGAATTTCTGGGCGTTTAATTGGGTCCTTGGTGCCTCGTGCATTCAAGGTAGCTATGTGTAGTTCATGTAGGTATAATATTTTCAAACTAGGGGCACGCGTGCCCTTGGGTTCCTGAGCCCGAAGGGCCTGGGGAAGCGGGCCTCCCCCATGACGTTTTCGTCGTCTGGCCTCGTTCCATTTGACGCCGCGCCTCGCCCGTCGCGCTGCGACAAACTCGGTTTTTTCGCAGACCGCGTGTGGTATTTCGAAGCCTCTTGCAGCCCGCTTCCCTGGGGGCGGCACTCGGTCTCCGCGGGCCGCGTCCAATGCGCATGTCCGGAGGAGGGGGGGGAGGGGAAGGGGGGAGGGGGGAGGGGGGGAGGGGGGAGAGGAGGAGAAGGAGGAGGAACGGAGGGAGAGGGAGGGGGAGGGGACGGACAAGTAAGTGAAGATCGGCGCTCGGGCCGCGGC